CCCTCCCTCCCTCTCTCCCTCCCTCTCTCTCTCTCTCTCTCTCTCTCTCTTTCTTTCTTTCTTTCTTTCTTTCTTTCTTTCTTTCTTTCTTTCTTCTCAGAGCTGAGGACTGAACCCAGGGCCTTGTGCTTGCTAGGCAAACACTCTACCACTGAGCTGAATCCCCAATCCCCGGAGTGTTTCTTATAACGTGGGGTTTCCTTCAGTTTCCATACTCATGGCTGCACAGCATGCAGATATAATAAAACATAAGATTTGGACCTGAATCTTGAGGATTATCGCTTTACCTAGTTTCAGCCAAGAGAATGGAATCACATGGGCCAGGGTGGCCTTTTGGTTTGGATTCAGGCCCTCTGACCCACTTCCACATTTCTTACCTTCCGCCACAGACATATTTCTTCACAATGAGCACTCCTGCTACAATTGTGACCAGCATCAATCCCACGATGGCCAGGATAATAGGAACAGAGTTTGACTTGGAATTCTTGATAAATTAAAACACAAACAGAGGCTCAGTTAGGCACACACAGTCTGGGGCTTCATTCAGAGAGTGACCTATAGGCCAAGGCACTTAGTTCGAGCACTTCTCCACCCCCAGGTGAACCGTCTCAGTGTTTCCAGGAGGCTAGCACACCAGCACAGGGAATCTGGACTCCAGCTGCCTGGAAGCTGTAGGGCAAGGTCTTCAAGGTCAAAGTCACAGTGGAAGCCTTGGCAACTGCCTCAAATCAGGCGTGGCCAGCCATTTGACATTGCCACAAGATGTTATCATCTATAAACTTCATGCTTGAGAACTGCTCAGTTCAGCTACCAGAAACATTGCATACAGAAGTCACATTTTTAAATACGTTTACAATTTTGTGTTGGGCCACCTTCATAGCCATTCTTGGCTGCATGTAACCCTGGGGCCACAGGTTGGGCACGCCTAGAAGATCATCACGATGGTCACTGTGACTGTTCCATGTCCCTTGCTTACAACCCCTGGAGCTCAAGGGTAGAGCAGGAAAGGAACTGAGAGAATAGAGGCTGAATGAATCTATAACTAGACCATCATCTTTGAAGACGTGTGTCAGCGCTATTCCAGGAAGGCCATTTTAGGACACCAAGTTCCTGTTGTTCCTTAATTTTTGACATGTTTTTACAAATAAGCCTTATATCATTGTTTGCGTGTAACCTACCTGCTTCTGGGTAGGAGATAGGAAGTGTGTGTTTTCAGTGTATCCAAGAGGAGGCGGAGCTGGATTCTGGGACAAGCTGTGTCCCTGTGGGCGGGAGTCCTGTGCAATCACACACACAAACACTCTGAGGACAGCCACCAGCGGTCCCGGGCAGGGGTGCAGAGAAGGAGGAACTCACCCCCTTACAAATACACACACCCACACACTCTCCCTTCATTGCCCTTGCGTCCCACCCATGTCGGGCTCTCACCCCTTAGAACAGCAGGGAGGCGGTGTTGCGATTGTCAGGGTCAGCCTTTCATGTTACAGATTAGGGAGACGGTCCTCAGCTTATCTCCCGGTCACACTGCCAGTGCTGCTTCCCCAGGAGGCCCTCCTGGTTACCTTATCTCCAGAGCTCCACCAGACACATCGGTACCACACTTCCTATGACTTGATCTGAAGCGGTCCATTATGGCTACACTTAATAGCTTTTCACTTAACACACATGGCATGATAGCTCAACAATCCCTTCTTACTGGGCAGGGCTCACCTCTGCCTGTGCAGATCTCCAGTCCATGGCCCTTTATGGTCCCCCTATCCCCTCCCCCAAAGGCTTGCTTTTATTTTATTTTGTTTTGTTTTTTGTTTTTTCAAGACAGGGTTTCTCTATGTAGTCCTGGCAGTCCTGAAACTTTCTCTGTAGACTAGGTTGGCCTTGAACTCATGGAGATATATATGCCTGCCTCTACCTCCCGAGTGCTGGGATAAAAGGTGTACACCACCACCACTCAGCTTTGTTTTTAAATATTTATTTTTATTTGTAAGTTGTGTGTGTGTGTGTGTATGTGTGTGTGTATGTGTATGTATGTGCATGTGTGAGTGCAGTACCTACAGAATCCAGAAGAGGGTGTCAGATCCCTTGGAGCTGGAGTTATAGGCAGTAGTGAGCGGCCTGACATGGGTGGCAGAGACCAATCGGGTCCTCTGCAGGAGCAGTGTGTACTGTTGACTGCCTAGCCATCTCTCTAGTACCATTTGTTTGTTTTGGAGATAGTGTCTAATGTAGCCCAGGATGACCTCAAACTAGCTATGCAGCCATGGGTAACCTTAAACTTCTGATCCTCCTGCCTGAGTGCCCAAGTGGTGGGGTTACAGATGTGCATTATCATGGTCTGTTTATGTGCTGCTGGAAATTGAAGTCTGATCTCCAGTCCATGGCCCTTTATGGTCCCCCCCCCCCCCCCCAAAGGCTTGCTTTTATTTTATTTATTTATATTTATTATTGCTAGTACTCTGCCTATAGAGCCATAGTACCCAGCCCTAACCTTATTTTAACTTTGACTAACATAAACGCACATATCAGCAGGGACATTGTGACAGTTCGATACGTGTATCCTTTGCTCACTGAGCACTACTCTTAAATATTTTTTCTGAAGAACTCTGGGCCTCAGCAACTCTACAACTCCATGCTTTTAAGACCTTTTCAACTTTACATAATACCATTTTCCCCCAAACACACAGCAGCTCTTAGCAGGATGACCTTGTCACTGGGGTACATGATGGGTCCCTCATCCTGACAGCTGTGCAAAGTTCTGCAGAAGCATTGTGGGCCATTCCGTATTGGTACCACAGCGTAACTTTGATTTTTCCTGGCAGAACGTGAAATCCCACCTGTACCCAGAAGCTAGATCTGTTTTTAACATACCTGCTTCTTGGGGTTCAAGAAATTGCTTGTGCATTTCTTTTTCAAGTCTTTGACTTCTCGGGCTGGATTCATCCCTCCTTGGCATCTGTCTCCTGGGATTTTCCGGTACCTGAAAGACAGGAAATGGTTCACAGAGACTGCCAGTGGCTGTGCTGTTTTCTGGGGGAAGGCATGGAGTCAGTAGCTAGGCCTCTTGCAGGAATTGCGGCCATTCTGTCTAGCAGGCTGTGAGGTACAGGGAACCTCAAAGAAACAAGTTTGCGAACGTCTCCCAAAATCTGTCTTCAGTGATGGCTACGAGAGAGGTGGGCTTGAACCCAAAATGATAAACAGGAAGCAGTAGTACTAGGTGTAGACCGCCTGCTAATAATGAAGCCTGTCAGCAAACTGGGCTCTAACTCACCTCAGTGAAGAGGATCTCTACAGAGCAGCAGACACCGAATGGCTGCTCCGAGACATGTAGGTGTCTGTATTAGTTAATGTGCAAGAAGCATCACACAGTAAACACACACACACACACCACATCACACTAAAATGTCTCAGAGAAGAGAAGGGAGAAAGGGAAAGGAGGAGTATGGGAAAAAGAGATTTTTTTTTTTTTAACAGAACATAAAGGATGTATTCCCACGCTCTTGCCTCTTTCCAGAAAACAAGATTTGAAAACTGCAGAAAGTTCTTCCCACTAGGAAACATGGGTCATGATGATCACAGTTGCCTGTGTTCATTTCCAGGGGCTTTTGTTTTGAGGCAGGGTTTCACACTATGCAGCTCTGGCTGTCCTGGAACTCACTAGGAAGAGTAGGCTGGCCTTGAGCCCACAGAGATTGATCTGCCTCTGCCTCCCAGAGGTGTGCACAATTAAAGGTGTGCACAATTTTCATACCCAGCAATTTTCAGGGACTTAAATGGTCACTTTTGTTGAAGACACAACTATGCAGCTGACCTTTCGAATGATGCACAACTCAATGGGTAACCTTTTGACATTAAAGGACCCAAAGCCTCCAACCTCGGACTCTGGGAACACCATTTCTGAGGAGCTATGAGGGTGTGCAGAGTACCGATAGTCTAGCCTCTCATCGCATTTATTCACGCCTACGTTAGCCCCTCCCCTTCTCTCCAGACAGTTTATCTAAGCAGGGCTGGCTAGCCTAGAACTAGACGTGTAATGCAGACTGGTGTTGAACTAAAGGTGACCCACCCCTGTGGCCTGAGTGCTAGGGTTACAGGCATGCACTGCCCCATCAAGTTTCATCCTGTTCTTTATCCCACAAGTACCGCTATGCCCTACCCTGAGGACTGCGGACTTAAAACTCGTTCTCAGATTCCTGTAAGTTTGGCCACCTCATCAGGAAGTCCTGTTTGGCCAATGCATTGTTTTGTTGACTGACATACTGTGAGGCAGGCAAAATGGGCATGGGCCCGGGGCTGGCGGTGGGAAGGGACGCAGTCTGTGGGGATAGTCTGTGTCGTCTCAGGGCCTGCACAGACTCAGCATTTCTGTGTCTTGCTGACAGGCACATGTCTGTCCCTTCAGACTGCACCCAGAACTCAGGCTCAGAGAGAGCTCGTCAACAGGTAGCACAAGAATGGGAGCGGGGAGTCCATCAGCAGAGAAAGCGGGGAGGTCCCTCAGGGCTGCACCTTCCCCCGTGGAGGCCATTGGAATATGACATTAATAAAAATGGGAAACTCAGTTCCTCAGCATCAACAGCCCCGTGAGGCCAATGGCTGCCATTTGGACATGGCAGATGACAGACTATTTGGTCATCACAGTAGGTCTAGTAGATAGTTCTTTCATGAACGTTCTGGAGTACTGCTCATTCAGAACTGTGTGGAGATAAGCTGCTTTGGCTCAGAAGAGTGAGGACCTCGCCATCAGGGGCCGTCTTACCCGTTTGTTGTCAGGTGCTCTTCCTTGCCGTACAGACAGAACTCTAACTCGTGCCCCTTCAGTTCCGGCTGCTCCACACACTCTGAGGCGTTTTCTGGACGGAAGTAGCCAAAGTCACTGCAAGAATCAACAACAAGGACGCTTTGGAAGGTGCCTACCAGCCAGCACATGACCGACAGTCAAGTGGAGAGTTGACATTCCTGTCGAGGATGCTCCAACTGAGGTGCCAACAGTTGCTAGGAACAGGTTGGGAAGGCTGTGGCATCTTTGCAGGTCCACGCTAGAACGTGGATCTTAAGGGCCTCCCCAAAGGCCTGTGTTAAAGACTTGGTCCCCAGTGTGGTGCTACTGAGAGGCAGTGGAGTCTTTCCAGGGTGGGGCCTAGTGGAGGGGCTGCAGGTACCAGGGCCCTGTCTTCTTCCTCTTCTGTCACTTTTTGGCCACAGGGACCGATTTGCTCTGCCTCACGTTTCTGTCCTGAAGTGCTGTTCACCATAGGCCCAGGACAGCAGAACCCGATGAAGGCTTTCCTCTGTAAATCAGTTAGCTTGGGTGTTTACTAAAGTCACGGAAAGAAAACGGTCCCTTAGGAATAGCCACAGAGATGGCTCACTGATGAGGAGAGATGGACCAGCCCGGCAGACTCACGAACAGCCAAGATCTCCAGGGTAGGAGACCTATACCAGCCCATGCTCAGGGAAGGAACAGAATACCACTTACAGTAGGGCAGGGTCCCTAACAGCAGAGACAGAGGGGGCCACGGCGGATAAGCAACAGATCTACATACACAGACACTTAATTTTTTCCTCCACATGCCATTCATTAACTGCTGCTCTTGGGAATGTGTACGTTCTTATATTTTCTCTTCTGTCCCTCTTAGCTTCCTAGACAGCCAATCCGAACACTCTTTCCTGCCCTCCACCTTTTGTGTATGTGTGTTTGCACTTATGTGTATATACATACACACATGTGTATATGTCCATGCCATGCATGTCGGGATGGAGACCGGAAGTCAGTGTCAGGTGTCCTCTATGACTCTCCCCTTTAGTTTTTGAGGCAGAGTCTCTCACTGAATATGGAACTCACCAACTGACTGGACAAGCAGGCTGGTGAACTCCAGATGTGCCTAACACTGAAATTACAGATGTGTGCCAACAGGCCTTGCTCTTGTGTGCGTGCTGAGGCTCAGATTTCATGTTCTCAAGCCACTGATCCATCTCCCCAGCCTCCCGCTCCATCCTATCATCTCTTTGTAGCACCTCTCGCCCACCTTCCTTTCTGTCTTCTCCCATGAAATAAGGTCCTGCCTTTTCTCCAAGGCTGACCCTTTAGGTAGCATCCACGGCTTTGGTACTGCTCTTCCCACCCACCCTTTCATCCCAGAGTGTGAGAAAGGACAGCCAATCTCTACCACTCACTAGTGCCTTCCCCTCAGCCTACATATGGTTACGCTAGGAATCATCCCCTTCTCTCTTGTATTGGGCAACTCTCTCTCTCCCCACTTCCCTCCCCATCTCTCTCTCTCTCAGGATTGAACTCAGGGTCTGATATATGCTTGACAAGTGCTCTAACCCCAATCTCTAGCCGTATTTCTTGTAGGAATACTTTCAATAAACATTCTACTGCTAAACTAATCAACATCTCTAGTCCCTCGTTTATTTTTTATTTCATGCATTTTGGCTTCAATGCCCTCTGCCACCTTGGAAATGAAATGTCTAAGGCCCCACAAGGCTCACTGGTCATCAAACCCAGTATTTTCTCCTCTGTACCAGTCCCTCATCATCTCCACATCTGTCTACAACAGTACTTTTCTTCCTACCATCTGAAAGGGAAATTTAGCTCAAAAGTCCTCCACCTGGACTCTGATTCCTTCCTTCTCTTTCTTTTTTTTAAAAGTAATTTATTTATTTTTATTTTATATGCATTGGTGTTTTGCCTACATGTATGTCTGTGTAAGGGTGCTGGATCCCCTGGAACCAGAGCTACAGATGGTTGTGAGCCACCATGTGGTTGCTGGGAATTGAACCCGGGTCCTCTGGAAGAGCAGCCAGTGCTCTTAACCTCTGAGCCATCTCTCCAGCCCCCTTTTCTTTTTTAAACGTAGCCCTAGCAGGTCTGGGGCACCCTATGTAGATCAGGCCAGCCTGCAGCTCTTGGGGACCTATCTGCCTGTCTCTGCCTTTCAAGTGTTTTCCCTCTGCATTATGACTGCTCTGACTTCCTTGGTGTGCTGTTGGGTGTCGAAGCTCTCGAGTCCAGTGGCTTCTGTGGTCCACTTCCTTCCTGGATGCACACAGGCAAATGCCACCACTCATCAGCACTTAGCTCGATGCCAACTCCCCAACAAGGCCTTTGCGATCCTCCTCTTCACCACAGGAGGAACCTTCTTCTCTCTCCATCTACCGCTTACTGTGTGTGTGTTTGTGTGTGTGTGTGTGTGTGTGTGTGAGAGAGAGAGAGAGAGAGAGAGAGAGAGAGAGAGAGAGAGAGAGAGAGAGTCTGGTGAGGGAAAATGGAAGAGGCTTTAAAGTGGTGTTATCTGCCTTAAACAGTAAAGGCCAAGGGGAGTTTCCCAGGTGCAGGGTCCAGCAGGGAATGAGGCCAGGCCTTCCTCACACAGGAAGTATTCTCACAACCAAGCCTCGGCAGGACCACAGTGCGTTAGGAAACAGCGGCAGCTCAGGGAAGGAGACCTGTAGGTGAGGTCAAGGGCAGGACAACCCTGTGGAGCAACTTCAGGCTTGACTGTAAGCCAAAGGTGAGCTGAGGGAAAAGTGCTTCCTGTGGGAATGGAGATGGGAGGAGCCACCCAGGGTCAGACCTGGTTCCCTTCAGATCTGCATTTACTGTCCCCGTAGTTCAGGGCAATATGACGAGGGAGGCAAGATGACTGTGTGTGTCCTCTCTCTCTGTCCAAGCGCTCTAGGACCCACTTTTGCTTCCTGTCAGAATCTGTCACAAGTAGTTCTCATTTGCCCCAACTCCCTTCATTTAAGTGACACTGGCCTCGTTCATATCAACACCAGAACGAGTAAGTAACTCTTCATCCTTGGCTGTCCTGAACTCTAGGGAGTCCATCGTGGTGGCCTCTAGACATCAGTGAGACCTAGGAACCGTGAACATACTGATGTCACCTCTAGTCAGGCCCAAACCACCAACGTTCAAACGCTCCAGAGCCCAGCACCTTCCAGCGGGCTTCCTGCGAATCCCAATTTCCACCCTGCCCCAACCACTTTTCCTGTGGTTTTGGCTCAACATTCTGCAGACCACCCCCCTCCCAAACTCTTCTTCCTTTTAAAATTTAATTCTTTTGAGACAGGGTCTCAAGTATCCCTGGCTGTTATCGAACTCGCTATGTAGCTGAGGAGACCTTACACTTCGTCCTGCCTCTACCTCCCAAGTGCTGGGATTATTAGCATGAAACACAGTTTGTTTGCTGCTGGGGATCGAACTCAGGGCTTCATGCACGCTAGGCAAACACTATACCAACCGAGTTACAGCTTATATATATATTTCTGTCCTTCCCACCATGTCCAGGGCAGCAGCTCTATGGCTGGGCAGTGGCTGTGCCCAGTGACTGACTAGTTTGATAAAATAATCTGTCTAAATGTTAGCGATGTTTGGCTCTCTTTCTCTCTGCTTCCCTTTTGTGGCTAACAGGTGGGAGTCAGTCAGTCTGGGGAAAAGGAACGTCAGTGTATTTTAGCTGGATAAAAGAACTATTTGTCACCTCCCCACAGGTGGGACAGGGGCTGACAGAGGGGTCTGAGGGGTGCTGGTACCAGAGGAAGTCCTCCAGGGAACAGGGACAGAAGGATGGCTGCTTGGCCGCCACATAGTCTCGACCATTCTGACAGACGGAGGATTTCCGCAGCCGCAGGAACTGCTCTTTATAGCCCAAAATGCAGCCGTCTTTGTAATCTCCAGGGTCTGTGGAGTGTGCCAGCCACGTGGTGTAGTCATCCTCTTCACCTAAAGGACAGACAGAATGTTCAGAAATCGGCACAACACACAGCCCACCCACAAGAGAGAGGCAGCTGCCAGGCTAAGGGAAGGAGGAGGGACAGGTGGGGATATCTGATTCAAAGTCACTTTAGTCTAGAACCCACAGCAGGTTCCTCATGGCAAGGGAAGACCAGAAGACGGAGAGCCATCTTGCCTTCTGAGCAGGGATTGGGAGAAATCTTTGTTTTAAAGTGTGGCTGTCTAGGGAGCTCTGGAGTCTCTCCAAACCAGGAGGCTGCTGTCTGCCGCGATGGCCAGGGCACTCCAGCCCTGGAGTTATCAGAGACAAACAGTCATGTTTCTCATCCTGGGGCCCTTTGTTTAGTATAAGACACTAACGAGGCAAGAGCCCAGCTCGATGTGGCCACAACAGAGTTGGCTTCAAGCGGAAGGGCACAGCTTTCCTCTCGAGTCCACTGGCTCTCTGATGCCAGTTGTTGACATCTGTTTCTGCTTTAGCGTTCCACATCATCTACTCCTAGGAAAAGACTCACAGGTTGGAACCTAAAGAGTGTCGCCTGCATTCTCACCTTTCGGGACTTGAAGATCGGCAGTGAGCCAGCCTGCTAGGAAGCAGGTGCCTAACAAACATTTTAATGATCCTAAGCTTGAGAGCTAACACGGATTTCCCTGCTCACAAGCCAGCTCCTTCCGCCTTGTTCGCGCATTTAGAAGACAAGGGTCTCCAACCACACGGGAATGTGTTACAGAACCGCAAGTCCCCGCTGAGGGCTCTGCGTCACAGGAGCCGCAGGACTAACCGGACACTTGTCTCTTAAATGACCCACACTTTCAGCCCTGATTATACGGTGCCGACATGTAATCACAGGGCACCTTTCCTCCAGCGCTTTCTTTTAGTCTCCACGTTTCTCACTGTGACACTGTGGCTGGGTTTGTCTGTGACTTGGGGAGCACCACGTGCTGGACACTTTCTTCCTGAAGTCCTTCGAACCTGCCCAGTGTTTATTCCAGAGCCTCAGCTAGGACTCACATCCAAACTAAAACTCCCCGTGAACCTCCCTCCCTTCAGTGTCCGGAGTGACAGGATCAAGGGGGCAGTCCTTGCGAACACTTTCCCCCCAAAACTGTGCTTCTACAGCCCCACTGCATCTGCCTACAGAGAGGCAACCCGCCCCCCCAAAAAGTCACAAAATGATTTTCGACAAACACATACACGTACTATTCTTACAAGGCAGAAGAGTGTCTCATAAAAGGTACTAAAGATCCCTCCTGCAGTGCAAGGCTACACTGTCCTATGCGGCAGCCCTGCCACGTGCAGCTGGTCTGAACTGAGACGTGCTCAGGATGTTGACACAAGAAAAAAAAAAACTATGTCAGCAATCTTCCATACCACTGACGTGTTGCAATGGTGTTTTGGACATCTACAGGTAATTCCACCACGAAGATGCAGTCCACCTTCTATTTTACAGTGTAGCTGACAGGATAATTTGAACTACACAGATGCCCTGAGCGAGCATCTCTTGCACAGTGCTAAGCCCAGGGCTGCTTGGCTATTCCAGTGCAGGATTGCCCACACAGGACATCTCCAGTCGCCTTTCATATGCATATGCACTTGCTTATCCTGGTTGAAAGAGATTCCTCTGAATGGGTTATTTGGGAAAGGGAGTTTACAGATTTCTCCTGGGGACTCCCCAGAGGAGACACTCACAGTTCCGCTCCAGGATATCTTTGAAATCCACGGTGTAGGAGACCCACTGGCGGGTTATGAAAGACTCTGTGAACCCCCAGATGCTGATGTTCATGGACCGGGCTCCGGGCTCCGAAGCCAGGCCGGTGAAGTAGATTGGCTCCTGCGTGAAGACGTAGCTTTGCCAGCACTGGCCCTCATCTGTGGAGAACCTGAAACCAGGGTTTGAGAAGGATCATGACAGAGGACCAGCACGCACTGGGGGCAGCAGGAAAGCAATCTAGCTGTTTGGTCCCCACCCAGAGGAAACCCTTGTATTTAGAGGGTGACGTACTGTCCTACAATACCTCTATGAACAGGGTATGAGAAAGGATTCCTTCCTACAACAAAGCACGGAAGAAAATACCTCTTTCAAAGGAAGAGAGAGCAGTGACCCAGCATGAGTCCAAATTAATAGGAATAGATAGAATTGAAATACCTCACATTTTTGGAACATTTGTACTGAAGTCATTTCTAACTCAGAGTGCTCGGGCATTTCTTTATTTTGGGGGTGGGGTGAAAGAAGATCAATTGTTTTCATTTAGTCGTGGTGGTGTGTGCTACAGCATGGGGTGAGGGTGACTAGCGGAAGTGTGTGCATGTGTGTGCAGGTGTGTGTGTGGGGGTATATGATGGGGGAGGGTCTGTTCTTTCCTTGGTATTGAACTCTGATCATCAGCCTTGGCAGCAAACACCTTTACCTTCTTAGTCATCTTGCTGACCCAAGGAAAAAAAATTCAAGTGATAAAATCCGTAGCCAGGAGGAAGAAAAGGTAGTGTCACCTCATCTGGGATGCTTCAAACATTATCCTTGTGGGAGCCTTTGCTATATATAGTTCTGTGGGATCTAAGAAGGTAAATCAGGGTCCACGACTCTCTATACCATAAGCCCAAGGGCTTCCCCACCACCGCCCTCTACGCAGATACGTGTGGGGAGCTGAGAGCATGCATACTTAATCACATTGATAGGACGATTGCTGTGCTCAATGGCCACGATGATGCCTCCGGAATCCAGGATGGTATAATAGTGGGGTCCTTCCAGCATCTTTGCCCAGGAGTAACCACCGTCATCTGAGATGTACACGTCTGGGACCATCACCGAGATGGCATCTCCCACACTGCCTGCAAAGCAAGTGGCCATCAGCATACATTAGCAATGAAGCAAAGAGGATTTCCTGGCAAAAGAGGACTTTGGAATGAACTTGCTCTATTTTCCACCAGGCCTGTTAGAGTAGAAAGAAAGCCATCAAAGCTTGGGTGTGCCATTGCCAAGGAGAGTCTATTAAAAACCCAAAGCATTGTTACAGTACAGGAAATCCCATCCAATGATCGTGTTCTAGCTACCTTCAGCAGAGGGACTGCCCAGGTCAGATTGGCCCATGCTCACATTTGTGGTTGTCTTGATTAATGATTGATGTGGGAGGGCCCAGCTCACTGTGGGCAGCATCAACCCTTGAGGCAGGTAGTTTTGAGTTGTATAAGAAAGTTGTATAAGAAAGAAAGCTAGGCCGGGCGGCGGTGGCGCACGCCTTTAATCCCAGCACTCGGGAGGCAGAGCCAGGAGGATCTCTGTGAGTTCGAGGCCAGCCTGGTCTACAGAGTGAGATCCAGGAAAGGCACCAAGCTACACAGAGAAACCCTGTCTCGAAAAAAAAAAAAAAAAAAAAAAAAAAGAAAGAAAGAAAGAAAGAAAGAAAGAAAGAAAGAAAGAAAGAAAGAAAGAAAGGAAGAAAGAAAGAAAAGAAAGAAAGCTAAGCACAAGCCCGTGAGAGAGGGAGCCAGGGAATAAGCCAACAAGCAGGCTCCTCCATGGTCCCTGCATTGAGTTCCTGCCCTGACTTCCTTCAGAGATGAAATGTTGATCTGAAAGTATACATGAAATAAATCCTTTCCTCCTCAAGCTGCATTTGGCCGGAGTGGTTTATCATAGCAACAGAAAGGAAATGAACAGAACACAGAGGCCACCTGCAGTGACTTTTTTGGGGCACATGTGCATGTGTGTGTGTGTGTGTGTGTGTGTGTGTGTGTGTGTGTGTGTGTGTGTGTGTGATGCTCAAAGCCTGCACCATCTCCCCATGTAACCTCTGTTCACAATGGTGGGGGCGGTCCTTACCGTGAGCGATGACTATGCCCACGGCATTGGGCTCCGAGAGCGGGGCCATGGGAACATTTAGCTTCTGGGAGATGCTGTAAGAAGCATGAATATGAAGACTGCACTGTGAAGAGAAACCAAAGCCCAGATTAAAACCAAAGGCACAACGTCCTTACATTTCACAGAAGACTTTGAATTTAACTCGAACCTCAGTGGGATGATGTTAAAAAAAAAAAACAAAACTGTGGTAAAATTCATTTCATAAAATGTGCTATCTGGCTTTTAAAGTATACGCTTAAACATATTCTCACTTAACCAGTCGTGAGACCCTTCTCATCTTGTAAAACTGAAACCGTCGCTTTTAAAGCAACAAGTCTCTACTTCTGTCTCCCTGTAGCCCGAGGAACTGCTATCCTACGTCTGTCTCTATAGATCTGACTACTCTGGGTCCCTCATATAAATGAAATCACATGGAATTTGTCTTTTTGTAATGGGCTTATTTCACATTTGTCAGAACTAACTTCCTTTATAAGGCTAAATAATATTCCGTTTTGTGTGGGGTGGAGGAGTGTGTACTTTATTAACCCATTCTGCTACTGATGGAGTTACTTCCATTTCTTTGGTTGTTGGAAATAATGTTCCATACATAGGCGGTCCAACTATTTTGTCAAGACTTCTCATTTTCTTCCAGCCAGGGATTGAACCAAAAGCTTTACCCACATCAGGTAAGTACCTTACAACTGAGATACGTCCCTAATCCTTATTTTTAAACGTTTATTTTGATATTAAGTCTTACTACATTGACTGGGCTGGCTGGCAATTCTCCTGCCTCAACTTCCCTAGTGGTTGGGATGACAGACACATGAGACTCTGCCCAAGTGTAATTCTTTTTTTTATGTGAACCCAGAAGTGTAACTGTTTCACTGAGCACAGATGCAAAAGTCTTCACCAACTACTGGCAACTGAATTCAACAGCATTATTATCATTAGCCGTGACCAAGTAGGAGTCCCCTCTGGAATAGCAGGATGATTCAGTGATCTGCAGTTCATTTTTATGATATACCACACTAGCAGAATGAAGGCTCAAAAACACAATCATCTCCACAGATGCAGAAAGTTTTGTTAAATAAAATTCAATGTTCTTTATGCATAAAATTCTCAACAAATTAGGTTGAGAATGTATCTCCAGATAATAAAGGTCACAGGCAACATTATATTCAAATATTAAAAGTTGAGTCCATTTCCTACATGATTAGAAACAAGACAAAGATGTCCTCACTCTCCTTCTGTTCAGAACAATGATAATGACAATAATGTTTTTCCAAAACCTGGAAGAAAGGATTTGAAGTGTTTGTCCCATACAGAATGGATGATGCTTGAGAGATGTTAACCTTGACTTAAACATTATACAATGTTTGTGCATATTAAAACACCACATGGTTCCCATAAATATGTAACATTATTTCATGTTTTATGTATCTGTGGTGGTTTGAAAGAAAATGACCCCCAAAGGGAGTGGCCCTATTAGGAGTATGGCCTTGTTGGAGAAAGTGTGTCACTGTGGAGGCGGGCTTTGAGGTCTCATATATGCTTAAGCTATGCCCAGTAAGACAGACTACTTCCTGTTGCCTGTGAGTCAAGATGTAGGATACTCGGCCACCTCTCCAGCACCATGTCTGCCTGCATGCCACCATGTCGCACCATGATGATAATGGACTAAACCTCTGAAACTGTCAGCCATCCCAAGTAAATGTTTTTCCTTTAAAGATTTGCTGTGGTCATGGTGTCTCTTCACAGCAACAGATACCCTAACTAAGACAGTATCCAAGGAATAATGGTCTGAGAACAACTTTTAAAAATGAACTGTTTAGCCCAATCAAAGAAGTGAATGATTTGTGTGGCGGGAACCACAGAGCACTGTGAAAGTAGCTGGAGATGCAAGAAATGGGAAGGAAATCTGTGTGCATGGAGTGGAGGAATTAACACTGCTAAAGGTCTGTACTCCCCAGAGTGAGCTACAGACTTTACTGCTGAAATACTGTTGCCATGGGCTGGGGGGTGAGGCTGTAAAATTGGGAGTTTGAGGCTAGCCTGGGCTACAGAGCAAGACTCTGTCTCAAAAAGTAAAACAAGCTGAGCAGTAGTGGCGCACGCCTTTAATCCCAGCACTTGGGAGGCGTTGGCAGGTGGATCTCTGTGAGTTCAAGGCCAGCCTGGTCTACAGAGAGAGTTCCAGGATAGCCAGGGCTACACAGCAAAACCCTGTCTTGAAAAGCCAAAACCAAAACAACAACAAAAGAAACTAAAACAAACAAACAAAAATAAAAAAAAAAACAAAATGGGGAAAAATAGATAAAAACTTCTGATAGCATTTTTCCAGGAAATAGTGAGAAAATCCTAAAATTTATATGGAGCCTTTAAAGACCATGAAACACCAAAGCAATCTTGAGTAAAAAAGAATGAAGAAGAGGGTCACACTACCTGGTGTTATAATATGCTATAAAGCTACAGTCATCAAAACAGCATGATATTGCCATAAAAACAAACATATAGGTTAATGGAACAGAACATTCTAGACATAAATCCATACATTTATGGCCAATTAATATTTGACAAAGGAATCAAGAACACATGAGAAAAGCGTAACTTCAATAAATGTTGCTAAGGAAACTTAATATCTATGTGCAAAATAAGGATTTGAATTCTGATTTCATATCTACAAAAATTCACTCTAAACCAGTGGTTCTCAACCTATGGGTCGTGACCCCCTGGGTTACATATCAGTTATTTACAAGTTACGGTTATGAAGTATCAATGGAATAATTTTGCGGTTGGAGGTCACCACAACATAAGGAAATATATTAAAAGGTAGCAGCATTAGGAAGGTTGAGAACAACTGCTCTAAACAGACTTGAATGTAAGACTCTAAACTAAAATACTAGCAGAAAACACAGGAAAAAGCTTGACATAGTCTAGGTGATAACTTTGGAAATGATCCTAAGAACACACACAACAAAAAGTAAAAATGCACGGGCAGAATCACATTAAACTTAAGTGCTTCTGCAAAGGAAACGCCCAGAAGACTGAAGTGCCTGTCTACCGAACAGACAGTACCTGCAACCAACACACAGAACAGGGCTGTACAGCAAGAAACAAATATCTAACTTAAAAATGGGCAGAGAAACGTGCAGCCATTCTTCAAAGATAGCAAATACCAAGGGGTATTTGAAGAAGGTTCAGCATTACTCATCACTGGGGAAATGCACATAAAATCACAACACATCATCACCTCCAACTTCTTAGAATGCTAATAGCATTTGCCTTAACAAAAATATGACAGTGACAAGTATTGGTTAAAGCCACAAGGAAAGGGGAACCCTTGTACTCTGTTGGGGAAATGTAATCAAAACCATCACCACCCAACACAGTGTGGTGTTTTCCTTAAAATTTATAGACCTGCCAGGAAGTCTACTTCTTACTATTGAGCTAAAAGAGATGAAAGCTAGAATCTTAAGGAGATATCTACAGTCTACATCCACTGTGGCTCAACTCAAGATAGAGAACCAACCAGTATATTTCTAACAACAAAAAGAAGATGTATTTAATATGTTTTGCTTTGTCTTTATGTTTTGCCTGCATGTACGTCTGTGTGAGGGTGTCAGATCCCCTGGAGCTGGAGTTACAGACAGTTGTGAGCTGCTTGCTGTATGTGGGTGCTGGAAATTGAATCTGGGTCCTCTGGAAGTACATGCAGTGCTCTTAACCATCTGCTGAACCATTTCTCCAGTCCCCAATCTAAATTGCTGAACCATCTGTCCAGTTCCCAATCTATGTATCTTTTGATGGATGAATGAATAAAGAGAAAATACAGTATATGCCCAACGGGATGTTATTCATTCTCAACAAAGGAGAAGCTGCTGTTTGCAACCACGTGGATGAACCGGGGAGACTGTGTGCTAAATAAAATAAGCCAGGTACGAAAGACAAATACCACTGAATGTCACTTGAATGTGGAATCTCATAAAACACTAAACTCATAAAAGCAGGGAGTAGAGAGGTGGCTGTGAGGGATCAGGAAGCAAGAGGGGGAGGGGTAACGTTGGCCAAAAGGTTCTAAAGTTTCAGTTCCATTGGACCAGCAAGTTCTGGAGAGCTAGTGAGAAACACGGAGAGGACAGTCTATAAACTGTGGAGTCTGCTAAGAGAATAGATCTGAATGCTCTTATCTCACACGATAAAAAGATAACTGAGCTAATGGATGTGCGCATTAATTAGCTTGAGTGTGGTCATGCATTTTACAATGTATCCACACAAGCAGGATGTCATACTGTTCATTATAAATATGTGCTATTTTAATTGACTAATTATAAGTCAATAACGCTGAGGGGAAAAAAAAATAAATGTCAGAAAGTAGGTGAATGTGTGAAAGCAGTTTAACAGCTGGTGCCCTCCAAGAAGCTCGAGTGAGCCGGGCGTGGTGAGACCTGCTTGTAATGTCAGCACTCTGGAGGTGAACTCCCAGATCCGGGTACCTCTGAGCTTAAGATCAGCCTGGTCCACATAGGGCCAGCCAGAGCTACATATGAGATCCTGTTAAACCAAAAACCAAAACCCAAAAAACCTCAAATGGTCACAATAGAAACATTATGCTTCTGTAATTCTAAAAGGCTAAGCCAACTCTTAGTAGGATGAAGAATGATGATTGGCCCTAACTGGGTGGGCACTAAGGGCTAGGATTTCCACAGACTGCAACTAATCGGGGTTTAGGGAGATAGCTATGACTCCTTCAAGGACACTGAGAGGCCACAGAGGAGGAACATGCAGGGTGTGTGAAGGAAGGGCGTGTGAGAGCAAGGGTGTGTGTGGGAGGGGAGGGTGGAGAGAGACAGGCAGGACAGAGCCTTCATTCACCAGAGCTCAGACTTTACCCAGGCAAAGCAGAACCAAGAGAAGGTTGGGAAGGGAGAAGCAGAGGACTAGAAAGTGTCCCAGTAAGAAGAGGCCACCACTCCTGCCTGGGGTGATGGGGAGGTAAGCAGGTGCAGGGCAAGCCTGAGGCAGAGGGACAGGAAAGGGTGAAGAAGATGGAGGGAGACATGGTAAGCATGGCTACAAAGGGGGAGTGTGAGGTGGGGGTGGTGAAGTGCCCTTTGTCTCGTGCCATGGGAGAGCCCCACCAAAAACTCCAGGCTAGAGAAGCAGAATGGCCCTGTGTGGAGCAGGTCTGAGGGGAACTCGGAAACAACCAGCTCGCTATTGTTGAAGCAAGCTCTCCCAGGGTGTGCTGACCCACGCCTGGACCATGTGATGAATGGCTGCTCTTTGGCTTCTAAAGGACTTCTAAAGGTCTTCATCACCAGGTTGACAGACCCCTAGCTAACAACCAGCACATCTGTCCATTCTGTCTTCACTCAGAAATTTAATAAAATAAATGGTTGGTACTCCATCTTGATTTTTTTAAAAAGACAACCTGTAGTATCTTAGCCTCTCCATATAGTTTCTACTTCTCAAATTCTAAGTGAATTCATCATTCTCAAGCCTTCTTCTCCCTTCACCTTGGACCCTGACTGAGAATGAGATTTTGTTATGTCAAAGCTTAGCCCTGCTCAGCCCAGGGCAGACTAGCTGCTCTTCTGACACACAGACGACGGTTGGCGCCAACAAACCTCGTTCTTGTTCTTCGCGGTAGCATCACACTTGCTGTTCTCCGGCTTCCGCAGATGCTCCCACCGTCCTCCCTGGTCAAAAGTGATCATGCTCTGAATAGAGTTATCTGAACAGGGAAAGAGTGACGTAAGCCCAACACACAGGAGAGAGAGTGACGTCCCAGTCAGCCCACCACAATGGAACTCTCTTCTGAGAAACATCATTATCATTTATTTGCTTACGTTTTTATAGAACTATATATTCTACGCCGAGCATATTTCCCTTCATACCCCTGCACCCTTTTCTTTCCCCTTCCTACTCTGCTTTGACTCTGGAGTCCTAGGAGCTCTTAGCGCCGTACACAGTGGTTCAGCTCAGCACCGGTGAATAACAGGCCTGCAGAAAGTATGCCACTTCAACAGGGCATCCCAGCTAATTCCAGATGCCATCTGGAACGGACACTACTGAAAAACCCAAAAGCACTCTTTCATGCTTTGAATCTTAAATTCCTTCCTCTTCTCTACTGCCCAGATATCCACAGCTTGGCTGCTGGACTGAGATGAGGGCCAATGAGAGGAAGTTAGGTCACTGGCTGTGTCCTTGAAGGGACATCAGGATGTTAGTCTCTTTCTCTTCCTACGTCTGAGGTGATGGGTTTCATCTACTATATACTTCCACCATGATGGTGGTGCCACAGACACAAAACAGTGGGGATAACCAGCCACAGGCGGAAACCTCTGAAACTGTGAGCCAAAACAAACCTTTGCTCTTTATAAACTGATTGTCTCAGGCCTTTTGTTTTAGTAAATGAAAGTCAACACATTTTAACTCCTGACCAGTGTGAATAGGCTAATGTCCATTCTTCTTCACTGTTTGATGCCTTAGAAGAAAATCTACCGAAGGCAGGGATCCTAATTTTTACTCAGGCAAAGACATGACACCAAGCTTATTTTAGGGATTTTCAAGATTATTTACATTTAACCCTGGACTAATAATTTCTAATTTGAGTTTTTTCACCATCCCATATCCTATCTGTCCTTATTAGGGTTACTATCGCTGTGATGAAATGCCATGACCAAAAGCAAGTTAACAAGGAAAGGGTTTGTTTTACACATCTATATCATAGTCCATCACTGAAGAAAATCAGGACAAGAACTGAAACAGGACAGGAACCTGGAGGCAGGAGCTGAGGCAGAGGCCACAGAGGTGTGTTGCATCCTGGCTTGCTCATCATGGCTTGATCAGCTTGCTTTCTTATAAACCCCAGGCCTACCTGCCCAGGGGTGGCACCACCCATAATGAGCTGGGCCCTCCCCCATCAATCACTAATTAAGAAACTGTCCTACAGGCTTACCTATAACCTAACCCAATCTTACGAAGGCATTTTCTTTTTTTTATAATTATCTATATATTTGATGTGCATTGGTGTTTTGCCTGCATGTATGTCTGTGTGAGGGTGTCAGACCCCTGTGGAACTGGAGTTAGAGACAGTTGGGAGCTGCCATGTAGGTGCTGGGAATTGAACCTGGGTCCTCTGGAAGACAAACAAGTGCTCTTAGCCACTGGGCCATCTCTCCAGCCTCCTGGAGGCATTTTCTTAACTGAGGTTCCCTTCTCTCAGATGACTTCAGCTTGTGTCAAGCGGACATAAAACTGCCAGTACACTATCCCTCTGATGTCCTTTCTTTTAAAAAACTTTACATCGCATTTATTCAATTATTTGTGTGTGCCATGTGCCATAGTGTGCACGTGGTTGGATGACAACTTCGGGAATCTGTCCTCTCCTGTCATGTGGGTCCTAGGGCTCAAGCCTAGGTCATCAGGCTCGGCAGCAAGCTGAGCCACCTGCTCAGCCACCTCCCAGTCCTTCTCTTTTTACCCTAGTGTCTCCTCCCTGTGATCTTTTCTCAATGACAAACTGCTACAGGCTTAAGTACAGAGATAATAATAAATATACTTTGAGGTTTCAAGGAACATCACCCAGGAAGGCAGATGAAGGAAAATTCATTAATTCAGCAAGCATTTATTGAATGGACTGTGTGAAGACTACTGTAGGCCTCTGGAATAAATACACCAGTGAACAACACAGAAAGCCTTGTTGGGGACCGGTGGGGTGATGCTTTAGGAAAAAGCACCTGCTACACACACCTGAGGGTCTGAGTTCGATCCCCAGAACCCATAGTGGAGGGAGAAACCAACTCCTGAAAGTTGTCCTCTGGCGCGCGCGCGTGCATGTGTACACACACACACACACACACACACACACACACACACA